AAACGTTTATAATAAAAGCATTTAATTAATGAACATTGACCAACTATGTCGACGAATCACAAGACACACATAACATATACAATAAGTATAGATATAGATGTATATATAAATATCTTATAAATGCCAATATCTCGTGATAAAGATACGTGCAGTAGACTTACACACACTAATTAACAGATAGTTTTTGCTCATAAGACTAAATAGAAGTGCGCACTTTGGTACAATACTCTTACACCTATGACAATAAATCTAGATTGCTTCAAATTGTAATCATTATTTTTGTCCGACTAAGAAGTAACTTGAAGAGAGCCAGGATAGAGCTCGATCACAGATTGCGTGGTAGGGCCTCCCCGGGCCAGCGCGTAAAGGGCAGTACCGCAGACAATCACCTACGAAGTGTATCCTGAGGGACATAACTGCTTTAAGCTGCTGGAGAAATATTGTCCGGCACTAAATATTTTGGAGAGCGACCCGGTAGGAATACAACTATCACTATCCCGCGTCAGAATCACGACGGACATACTCCACGCGACAGAAAGTTTACAGGTCTACGGCACTACCCCCCGCCGCTGGCCACCACGGCCCGCGCTATGACGATGCCATGAGTTTGCTGTGGTGGTGACTGTGGTGATGGTGGTGGTGGTGATGATGGGGGTAGTCGGCGGTGAGCGTCCCCGGCGGCGAGGCCGACGCCGACGCGTGGTGGTGACTGGGGAGGCCAAACTGCTGCGCCGCCGTGAAAGGGACGTGCGTGCCCGGGTAGCCGACCCCGGGGGCGAGAGACCCGAGGTGCCCCAGGGTCCCGAGGCCGCCGCCAAGGCCCCCGCCGAGCGCCAGCGGCTCCGTCTTGACGAGGTGGTGCGCCTGGTACATGGCGGACAGCGCGCCTTCCGAACGCTTCTTTCCTGCGGGTCAAACAACAGTCAACTCGTTAGGAACGCAGGGAAAGCGAAGCGCAGCGAGCCCATCCCATACCAGGATGCGGCGGCCTTACCTTGTTCGGGAGACTGCGCCTGCTTGTCGCCGGCCCCAGACGAGTGCTTGGTGTCGCTGGAGGAGGAGAGCGGCGACGAGGCCGCGGAGGCCGCGGTGGTGGAGGCGGCGGCCTGGCTCGCCCCGCCCTGCTGCTGCTTCTTGGGCTTTCGCTTGCGCGTCTGGATGCCGTCCTTGCGCATGCTGATGGGCCGGTTGACGCCGTGCAGCTTGAAGTACAGGCCGCACGCGTTGCACACGGGCTCGCCCTCGTTGTTGCGCCGCCAGAGCGTCGTGGTGCGCGTGCCGCAGTTGGTGCAGCACAGCCCTAGGCGCCGTGTGGCCGTCTGCAAGGACACGGGGTTAGCGAGGCTTGGGGGAGGACGTAGCACGCCGGCATAAACACACGAATACGCACCTCCAGGGGATGGCACAGGTTGCTGACCTCGTTCACCAGCCTCTTGGAGGGCTTGACGAGCGGCCGGTTCATGCCGTTCATCTTGTGGTACAGGCCGCACGCGTTGCACAGGTAGTGCCCCGTGCCGTCCCGGCGCCACAGCGGCGTCGACACGGCGCCGCAGTTGACGCACTCGCGGCCCTCTCCGAACTGGAACTCCATGGTACCATCTGCGGGCGGGAGATTAGCGATCAGTCAGGGGGGGCGCTGGAGGCGGAGGCGGCTCTCCAGCAGTGTAGGCGGCGCCCACGGCCCACGCGTACCGTAGGGCGAGGCGCGCTGGAAGGCGGCGCTGTCGTAGGCCCGCCACGGGCCCATCATCATGTTCTGGGCGTAGAGGGCGTGGTGCGCGGCGTGGTGGGGATACTGCGACACGTAGCCCTCGTGGCCCGACTGGTGGCCGCCCCACGAGGACCCCCACGCGCCCGCCGCGCCCGCCGAGGAGTACTGCGGGGGCAGCACCGCCCGCGTCGAGGGCACGTACACCTGTGGGCAAGAGCAGAGGACAGTCATTCCGGGAAGCACTAGACACGAAGGAAGATGTTGTTTCTCAACGGCCAAGAGCCACGAGCGGCTTACAGGCTGTTGATGGTCCTGTTGCTGGTGCTGGTGCTGCTGTTGCTGCTCCTGCTGTTGGTGATGGTGTTGATGTTGGTGGTGGTGATGCTGTTGGTGTTGGTGGTGTTGCTGCTGATGTTGAGTCTGTGCCTGCTGTTGCTGTTGGGATTGCTGCTGTTGCTGTTGCTGAAGGTATCCAGTTGTACCGCTCGACGTTGACTCGGGATACATGTCTGAGTTGACGGCACAACTGGTCTGGAACATGATGGTCATGCGTCTGGAACAGAAAAGCAAAATGAAGGGTGAGCATGCGCAGCAATATTCCTCGCCATGATGGGGGTCTTTGTCCGTGCCGGCGGGCCCCACAGCGCGGCTCGCTCGGCGCCGGCGCTGCGCTGCGGCAGCGGGGCCGATGGACCGATAGTGCGATGGGTTGAGCCCCCACCCGCTGGCCCGGGCCCGGGTTCTCACCTGTCTGGGGAGGGCGCAATGTTGTCACGTACCTGCGCGATAACACGCCCCCCTCTCCTGTTTGACACGCTATTAAATGGGTCGGATCTATTTAAACCGGACCGGGGCCACCTCTCCTCTTTACCGGCGCCAGCGTTTTCTCTCATCGGAGGCGCCCGCCGGCCCGCCCGGTCGGGCCTCAAATTTGTCTCGGTCGTGCGTCCAGGTCCCCGCACGGTCCCCAGGGTCCTCGGGAGGGTCCTCGAGGTCCGGCGCGACGAGACCCCCCTGCGTCGGCACGACCACCGGCTGCGACCTCTAGACGCGCACCGATACCGCCGCCGATACTCCAAAACGGATTCCTCGTCACAATCTTATCCCCCGTGTCCAGGCGGGGCTGGCGGGCTGGCAGAGCCGCTCCATGGCGACACGGCGACAGCCCCGCGGACTCCCCGCGCCGGCGCTCACCCTAAGTGCATTCACGAGATTGTGTCGCTAGTGGGAAGGGGAAGGAAGGGAGGGGGCTCTAGCAAACGGGAAAATAACACGAATTATGCACCCGAGTGAGCATGAGCATGGGCGTAGCGTTAGCGTGCCACCGGCGCGGCGGCGACTCGTGGGGTCGAGCTCACCGTCGGGCTGGTTGGTTGGAGTGGGACTCGGGCAAGGCGCAGGGTTAACATTCCCCTCTAATGCACTGCTACTGCTCCAGATGATCCAAAGTGGCCCGGCGCCCCCGCGAGGGTCACGCATTAGGGGGCGCCGGGCCAGGCGGCTAAGGGCGCCTATAAGGGCGCCTGTGGGGCTTATCGAGGAGACGGCCCCGGGCCTCCGCCCGGCCCGCCGGCTGTGGATGGATGTACTTCAGGCAGGCCGAGGAAATGTGGTGGACCGGCGCGGCACCTTCCTGGGGATTGAGCCGTCGGGCCGACGCGGCGGGGCGTGGCGTGGCGGGCGCGCGGCAGCCGGGGGCACCCACGCGTGAACATGGGATCAAACTCCCCGGCCCCCGCCGCCGTCAGCAGCGCCGTGCCCGCTCGCTGGGAGGAACGGCATACGCCAACGAGCCATCGTCTGTCTCTGCCTCGGTGAGAAAAAGCTGCGGTCGTCTCCTCGCGGGCGGGAGAGGATGGGCGGGGAGGAATAGGCACTGCATTGAGGCGAGTGGGGGTCGTGGAACGCACGGAGACAGATGCACCTCCTGGCGTGGTGGTGCCCTGCTCGGGCCGCCTGGCCGCGTCCTGGTGGTCCGGCGGCCTCTGACAGCCCCTGGTGCTGTTGTTGGCCGCCGGCGTGACACCCCTGCCCAGGGTCGCCCGGTGAGGTGACGGCGCGGTTACTTACCGGCCGCGTCGCGACACAAGGCGATAATTGTGGCGCTCAGCAGACCGTGACAAGAGATAGGCCGCCGGCGGCCTGCGCGGGGCCCCGGCTCGGCCCGGAGGTGGCGCGACGGGGACGGGGACGGGGGCGGCGGCGGGGTGAGCGCGAAGGAGCGGCAGGGGAGCGAGCCGCACCGGCGGAGCTGATCTCTCTGCGAGCTGCTCCACGACGCACTCCTCGTCGGCGAGCTGCACCACCGCCCGGCGCGAGGCGCTGCACGGCCCCCGGCCCCCGGCCCGAGACGGAGCCGCGGAGCGCAATGGTAATGACCCGCCGCCCCCATGGCGCGTCACGTGGGCGGCGCGGGGCGTATCTGCGGCGCCCGCATGCGATACCCGGGGGTGGCGCGCCGCGCAGCACAGCGCCGATACGCGCGGGTGCCCACCCAGAGCCGTGTGTGCGTACTGCTGCTACCAGCAGCCACATAACTTTTATTTTTCCCTTGCAGTCGGAAGCACTTTTCTCATGGCCGGGGAGCGTCCCAAGGGGGCAGGCGAGGAGCGCGGCGAGCGAAAGGCTTCAACCACCACTCGGCGTTCGGCGGAGTGGCGGCTGTTCACAGTCACTGACGCACGGCCAACGAACAGCAAGCAGTCGCAAAAAGGCTCCTACAGGTGGAAGAGGCGGGGGAGAGGGGGCGGGGAGGAGGATCACGAGCGAGCAGCGCTTCGAGAATGTATCACTGTCGTCGACAAGCTCCCAAAGTGAGGCGTCAGGTGACTGAAAGGAGGTAAAGGAGAGGGAGAGAAGAGGGAGCGGGTCTAAGCCGTGTCAGAAACGAGGACTGAGAAGGATAATTTGTGTTGGCCTGACAGACTTGTTCACACACACGCACACACACACAATATCTCGAAGCCAACCCCCTGACTCGGCCTCGAGCTCGGCTTACGGGGACTAATCGCCGGCGTCGCTCAGGCCTGCAGGTTCCCGAGGTGGGCCGGCAGGCTGGGCTATGGGCCTGGTGCGGAACGACGCGGAACGTGCAAGGCGCTCGCTCCCTGGCTGCACGTCGTGCTGCGGTGCTCGGGGCGGACGCACGACGAGATAGGCGATGCGCGGACGCCGCGGCCCGCATGTGTCCACGTGCGTCCACGTGTGTCCACGTGTGTCCACGTGCTCGACACGCGTCGCCGAGGAATAGCGCCCACTGCAGTGCTTCAAGTACCAGGGCTTCCACGACCACCGCGCGGTATTTGTGGGCTGGCCTTGGGCGCCGCCGGGGGGCGCCTGCTGCTGTCCGGTCGTCTTCGCGGCGCGCGGCCGCGCGTCTGCTTCGTGTCAATGCCCCGCTTCCCTCTCCGCTCCGCCCCTCCTCACCTGGCCGCGAGGCGCCTCATCTGTAGCGCGAAATGGCCGGTTCGTCATCGTGGCGGGCTACAAGGCTCGTGGGAGCCCTCGACGCCGGCGCCGCGGGGCCGGCATCATTTAGGGCCTAACGCCCCCTTGTGCAGCGCAGGAATGCCACCTTGTTGGACGAACGTACTCTTCGCCGCCTCTTCCCATAGAGGTAGCAGAGGTGTCCGTCAACACCTGAGGGGCAGGTGCTCGCCGCGCCCGGCCCTGCCTGCCACAAAACCACTAGACAAGGGGACGTGGGAACAGCCTCCCACGCTCCAGCAGCAGCAGCCCGGAGGTGTCAAGAAGCGCGCGGGGGCCTAACCCGGTCTGCGTAGCGTCTCTGCCCCTCGCTGCTCAAGGGCAGCCCGGCCGGGCCGGCGCAGGCCAGGCTCCCGCGGGGGCAATGCCGGGGCACTGTACTGAGGAGGAGCGGCGGAAGCACCAGCGCAGCGCATTTATTACCCACAAAAAGGAGTTATGAGAGAGGAGCAGGTCCCTCTCAAGCTTGCGGCTGCTCCGCCGTGAGGGGTGGCCTGTGGGCGTACGAGCAGCAAGCAGCAGCCACGGCGGGTTATGCCTTTGTTATTCCCCGAACCACCGCGTGACGCCCGAGATAGATCCACCTCGCAAGCCGCAGGTTTATCGCGGCGCCGTTTTGTTACCGATGCGCTCCGTTTGAAAACAGCGAAAGTTCACGAAATATAAGCAGTTCTTTGGTAATTTTAAAATTTTATCTCCACCGAAAAGATAAAAAGCTATTCGTGCATGTATTATTTTCTTCAAGAAGATACGGGGACAACGCGTACGGCGCGTGCAAGTTTTGGCCGCTAGGAGCGTTAGTATTTGTGGAGATCAACTCTCTCCTCAAAAAATGACGGACATTTAGTCGATCTTGTATTTTATTGTCGAAGCGAGAGACAAGCTTGATTTTTTCTGTAGAGGAGCAACGCGGTGGAAATGAGACACGAACATTAGGAACGAGCCGCTTCGAGGCCCATATCGTTTGATCTCCATGATCGGCAGCCCACTCTACCCCGAGCTTCTCATGTCGCCACACCTATTCCGAAGCGAGCTTGATCGGAACAGAGGGAAAAGACATTAAGACAGTTCTAATTCGATATTGTACGATCCGCCGTCGGTGTCGGTGCCGGCCTGTGCATCGCGTTGTGTTTCGGGTCAGTGGCTCCCCCCCTCCGCCCCACGCCGCGCATTGGTCAGCGCCGCGGCGCCAGGAGTCAGGCCCCGCCCCGCCGCGCCTGCTCCCCTCCACCCGACCACGGCGCGGGCCGGGCCGCGGCCGGAGCTCTTGGAGCAGCGACCCGCCGCGGCACCTAGGGCTGTGCGGTATTGAAATTTCAGTACCGAACTTCGATATTAAAAAAATACCGAAACTTGTCGGTATCGGTTATCGATACCGTACCGAAAATATCGAAATACCGAAATATCGAAATACCGAAATACCGAAGTATCGAAATACCGAAGTATCGAAATTTCGACAACAGAGAAGCTGACGAGGAAGTGAAACAATTTTGGCACTTTGAAAACAGCGCGCGATGCCATGTCTGCCGCCTGGCATGCCAGCAACGCCAGCAGCTCCATCTACATAGCGTCGAATAGTGGGCGTCCTAGCCCGCCCGAGGTAAGACTGGGGGCGGACAAGTAAAAGTAAAGGTTTGAGGGGCGCGCGTACCCACTCTGAGTACCAAATTCTTCGTATTATGGAAATATCGAAATATCAAAATATCGAAATACCGAAATACCAAAATTCCCAAACTTTCGGTATTTTTCGATATTTCGATAATATCGAAATATCGTTCCCGAATTGCAGAAATTTAAAATACCGAAGCATCGGTATAAAAAAAATACCGATATCGTTTCGGTATTCCCGAATATCGCACAGCCCTAGCGGCACCGCACCGCGGCCAGGCCAGGGGGGGCGCGCGGAAGCACGACCGTGCGGCAAGCGCGGCTGATGCCTCCCCGTCGTAACAACAACTCCGTTCTACACATAAGTGCATTAATTGCACCGGATTGCACGCTTAAAAATCGCTTTTCACCAATATTAAGTAAAGAATGATTTTGAGCTTTTTCAGGTTTACCTGAACT